TGATCACTCTCCCTTGTCTCCTCCCCACTGGTCCAAGGATCAGGTGCCACCTGGTGGCCAACCAGTCTCTCTGTGCCCTTCTCGGAGTCGGAACCCTGTCCAGGGTCCTCCACATCAGGGCCGACTCATAGGGCCCCTCACTGTCGGAGTCTGGTGACAGCTCCAACGGCTCCTTCTGGGCCACAACAGCTACCTATTTGAAATGGCATAGGGTCTCCTGTTTGAGCAGGGGGTTAGACTAGAAGACCACCTTCCAGCTCTGTTCTGGTTGATTTTGGGGGGAAAGCAATGTACTTCCTCTATCCCAGGGTCCTAGGGAAAACACTGAAAAAATCTTCAACTTAGAATGAGCCTTTGTGTGATTTTGCATGATACTGGGATGTGTGCCCTTTGAAATTCTCCCAAAAGTGGTAATTGGGAGAAAGATATAATATATGGATTTTAGCACAGGTTTTTTTTCCTTCATATGGGGCAATCTTGAATCCACTCCCTCTATAGCCCTGGCAATTATTCACTGATAACATTATAACTTGGATGGGCCAGAAGCAGAGGTGGGCTGCTGGGGGTTCAGGAGAACCTCTAGCTAAGATTCTATGCAGGTCGGAGAACCCTCAAATCCCACTCCTGGCTGGCCCCGCCCATACCCACCCCTGCCAGGAGTTCACACGCGACCCGTTTTGGAGACAAGTAAGTGCAGGGCGTGCACGGAGGCTCAGGGAGGGTGAAAAATGGGCTTACCGGAAGTTCAGGAAGGCCAGAAATGGGCACCTAGGGAGCTTGGGGAGACCGTTTTCGCCCTCCCGGAGGCTCAAAAGAAATCCTCTGGAGCCCAGTGTGGGTAAAAACGCTCCTTCCGCCGTGGTGCAGGAGACCGACAAATCCACACCCACCATGGCCACACCCATGCTAACATTTTTGAAGCCCACCCCTGGTCAGAAGTAAGAAAAACACAGAAGCTGACTTAAAAAAAGGCGTGGCACGACAAAACCGCGCTCGACTAAAGCGTGCCCGATTAAACCGCGTCGCTGACGTCATCAACAGGGCGACAACAGCGAGTGCGGAGAAAGAAGGGCGCTTTAAATAGCGCTTTGAAAGCAAGCCNCATAGCCTTTAGGAGGCTTGTAGAGTGCAAAATCTTTTTTTTTTTTTTTTGCAAAAATGAGCAAAAATGGCATTTTTTGTGTGAAAACAGGTCCATTTTTTGTCACAAAAAGGGCATGCATAGCATTTAGGAAGCTTATAGAGTGGTCCTGCGGGTCGGGGGGGCATAATTGAGCAAAAATTGACCCATTTTTTACTCATTTCTACCCTCCCCAGCCCCCAGAGCACTCTGAAAACCTTTTAAATGGCCATTTTGGTGAAGGGGTGGGGTTTCAAGAAGCAAAAAAATGCTAAATTAGGTCCTTTACGACCTGTGGACTTCAATTCCCAGAATTCCTCAGCCAGCCCTGGCTCAGGAATTCTGGGAGTTGAAGTCCACAGGTCATACAGGAGCTATAGTTGCCCACCTCTGACATACGTCGTGAACAAAGGAGAGGCACAAAAGGACTTGAATATTATTTTGATACGTAGCTTGCTTTAACGATCCTAGCTTGCACTGAACAGCATCAGTGCGACTACATTTCAGGCCATTCCTTGCCAAACTCTTTCCATTATGACCAGGGTGCCATGTCCCATGGTCACATGACTGAAATTTGTGGCATTTTCTGCTGGTTTTCAGCAAAAAAAAACATGTTATTTGAGAGATTGAGTTAAGACTTATGACTGTGTGATTCCCTTAACAACTGCCATTAAAAAAAATCATTGAACGATTGGATATGGCTAGGTGATGCCTCAAATTACGACTGAAATTCTGGTCCCAGTTAAGGGTATAGGTTGAGGAATACCTGTACCTTTTTCATCTTCATCTCAGATATACTTTTGGGATGTGTAAAGTTGCACAAGCCCTCAAATTTACTTTTTCTAAATGAAAACAGTGAGATGCAAACACACTCAATCACACAATCTCTCCACCATTGCTTTTCCCAAAGGAAACACAGCAAAATATTCAGATAATTTAAAATAGATTGAAACATTGATGTAGAACGTGTTTATATTGAGGAAGCTGAATTTGCTGACTGGTTAATTTATGCTTCAGATTCTCTCTGGTGTTTGACCTGTGGTCAGGGTATTATATCTATATCACAATACAGACACCAAGATTTATCTCTAAAATAGACCCCTTTGCTCCAAATGTGATTTTATATGCCAGAGAAGAAGGATGATACTTATTTTGGGAAAGAATCAATGCTATGAAAAAAATGATATCTTTAAAATTACACTGACCAGCACACTGAGACACTACTTAATGGTTGCAAAGGAATTGTGTCATATTGCAGAAAATAAAGGCCGCATTCCTGAATGTACGCCAAGTTCACCATAATATTGTATGTTGTTTTCTAGTTCAATAGGCAACCCCATTTAAAGGGAGAAAAATGACCTACAAGCTGAGAACATACTACTAAACCCTAAAAAGTAAAACTAACCACAGAGTAGAGTAGAGTAGAGTAGAGTAGAGTAGAGTAGAGTAGAGTAGAGTAGAGTAGAGTAGAGTAGAATAGAATAGAATAGAATAGAATAAGAGAGTTGGAAGGGACCTTGGAGGTCTTCTACTCCAACCCCCTGCTTAGGCAGGAAACCCTACACCACTACAAAATGGTTTAGGGTTGCATGCAAACTATTTCGAATGTTTCTCAATGCATACTTAAACCCTACAGCTTTTCATGCAGGAGAAAGCAAGATTTTTTTTGGGGGGGGGGGAATTGTCCAGGTTGAGCTTTACATAGAGAAGCAACTAGTTAAGGAGTTCTAAGGTTCTACCACAAAGTTCAAATCTCACAGAGAAAAGTTCAGATTTTCGTTTTTATGCACTCTTAAATATTTCCCTGGTACACCTTAGAGTAGGATCTGCAATCTTGGCAACTTTATGACCTGTGGACTTCAACTCCCAGAATTCCACAGGCAGCCATGCTGGCTGAGGAATTCTGGGAGTCAAAGTCCACAGGTCATAAAGTTGCCAAGGTTGAAGCCCCCTGCTCCAGAGTTGACTTTCTCAGTCTTTGTCTTCTGCATTGTTTCAAAGCACGATTGTTATTTTTTTGGGGGGGGACACACAGAAATATAGAATTGTTTTGTAGTGAAAGTCACCTGGATGGGTAGCCCGCTGCACTGATACGGATGGTCTCCAACACTCCACAAGCTCTTAGTTGTTGTACTGCTCTCTTTGGATCGAAGCTGTCAAGACACAATTGAGGGCACTCATGAACATGGCTGTAGAACACATTCTGATCCCTGTTCATTTATGGTTGTACGACAAAACCGCGGACGACAAAATCGCGGTCGACGAAAGCGCGTATGTGACATCATCACAGCGCGACGAAAAAGATCGAAAAAGATCGAAAAATGTAAAAATAAAGCTAAAACCTTCCCCTAACCCCCCCAAACCTAACCCTAAACCTAACCCTAAACCTAACCCTTAACCTAACCCTAAATCTAACCCTAAACCTAACCCTTAACGTAACGAAAAACCTAACGCTAACCCTTAACCTAACGCTAAACGTAACGCTAACGCTCTAACCCTAACCCTAACCCTTAACCTAACCCTAACCCTAACCCTTAACCTAACCCTTACCTTTATGTGAATCGGGTTGCTGTAATTTAATTTTTATTTCAATTTTTCGATCTTTTTCGTCGCGTTGTGATGACATCACATACGCGATTTCGGCGACCGCGCTTTTGTGGAACGCGCTTTTGACGGGTCACGTTCATTTATAAGATCTATGAACTCAATTCTAAACTTAAGAATAACCTTCCTAAACTTTAAACACTTCAATAAGCTTTGTACTGAACTCTCAACTTGACTATTTATTTATCAATAATTTGATTATGTTTAGCAAGAGATAAAATACAAAAAAAAGATGAAAATAGAAGGGAGGGAAAAGGGAAAGGAGTGTAGGGCAAAGGAGAAAAAAGGAAAAAAAAACATTTTCGGACACTTTTTAGAACAGTAGACTAAGATAGTAACATCCTCAACTTTTTACTTTTACATACATATATTCTAGCCATTTTTTAATAACAAACTTATCTAATTAGCAAAATCCAAAATTTCATATTTTCCCAATTTCAAGCACAAAATCCAGAAGTGATTTTCAAGTAGAAGCAAAATTGGATGTGTTCTTTTCTTTGACTAAAGCAGGCAATTTACCCACCTTTGCTAGTTCTGTTCAGTTTTCCAGCCATTCAACCATTGTTGGAATTAAAGTATTTCCCCATTTTTGGGCATAAAGCATTCTTTCTGCTATCAACAATATAGAACAGTAAAGTTCTGGATTTTTTTTTCTCTTACAGATTCTTTTGCATTTAATATCTCAATACATTTCATAAAATTATTGATAAATCGATATGCCTTGAAGGTACCAGATTGGGGGAATGCTGCTCAGTTTATTGTTGTGGTTGTTAGTTGTAAAGTCGTATCCGACCCATCGCGACCCCATGGACAACATTCCTCCAGGTCTTTCTGTCCTATACAATCCTCTGGAGTTCATTCAAGCTCACGCCGACTGCTTCAATGACTCCATCCAAGCCACCTCATTCTCTGTCGTCCCCTTCTTCTCTTGCCCTCCCATCTTTCCCAGCATGAGGCTCTTCTCCAGTGAGTCCTTCCTTCTCATTAGGTGGCCAAAGTATTTGGGTTTCCTCCTCAGGATCCGGCCTTCTAAAGAGCAGTCAGGGTTGATCTCCTCTGGGACTGACCGGTTTGATCGCCTTGCAGTCCAAGGGACTCGCAGGAGTCTCTCCAGCACCACAGTTCAAAGGCCTCCATTCTTTGGCGCTCATCCTGTCTTATGGTCCAACTTTCACAGCCATCCATTGCAACTGGGAAAACCGTAGCCTTGACTATACACACTCCTGTTGGCAGGGTGATGTCTCTACTTTTATGCTGTCTAGTATGTTGTCTAGATTTGCCATAGTTTTCCTCCCCAGGAACAAGTGTCCTTTAATTTCTTGGCTGCAGCCCCCATCTGCAGTGATCTTGCGTCAGTTTATCCTGGTGCTTAATTAATGGCTTCTTGATGTATTTGAGAGACCGCCTACTGCCAATTACCTCTACTAGACCGATACGATCGCATCGATTAGGCCTCCTCCGAATTCCATCTACTAGCCAGTGCAAACGGGCAACTACCCG